CTTTGTGCTGTTTAACAGTTTCTTGCTGTCTTTGAGCAGCCTGCCTTTCAGCTTGAACTTGAAGTCTAACTTTACGTTGTTCCAAAGTCTCTTCCTGTATTTCAGCAGCTTGTGCTTGAAGTCTTTGATTACGTTCTTCTTCTGTTTCAGCTGCTCTTTGTGCTTAATTCTTTTAGTGGCAGAAGACTCCATAGAAAGGGCATTTCTTGGGTGGCATAATCACCTGTATCACTAAGCAATAATTTGCAATTCACAAAGTTACTAAATCACTTATGAAACCACTTAGCACTATTTAAAGAAAATTGTTTTTGGAAATACTGAATTGACAGCAAGGTGATCTGAGTGTCTCCCGCCATATTCCTTTCTATGTGCAAAACGTGTTTATGTTTGTATGTTTATTACAAAAAAATGGTGCAATGATCATTAATTGTCAATTTTGTCATTAATTACTTACACCAAATAAAAAATAAAAAGCACCATTAAATTTCTTGTAATAAACTAGTTATTATATGAAGTTATTTTAAAATTTGTTTAATTTGAGATTTTATTCTAAATTATATTTATTATAAATGTTATTATCTTCAAATGTTTTTCATTTCATGATAATTGTTCTTTCTTATAATGGTTCCATCTGTTTTTATCATTTGTTATTGGGTATGTTTTTTAATTATTTTTAACTTGTATATGTGATTAAATAGTTTTATAACTAGTATATGCCTGCAGAGTAGTATTTCTAACCACATGTATGGTGGTGTCAGGGCCTCAAGAGTTAATATGATATTGATTTATAGACAGTTGAAAGTGCTAGTTCCAATATTATATAAAGCAGCTTTAAACAGTGAAATACAACAACAATATAATGACTACACCACACTGAGTATTATTTGGCATGCGCTGTTGTGTTTCATGCTAGATAGTACCACAAACTTTACCAGACAACAGTGGATAATTGGCTTGTGTGTGTGTAAAGTGTTTTATTCATGGATGATATTTACATCTATGAGCTTGTGCAGGACATTAACTTCAATCATGACTTTTTATTTTCAGGGTGGGATAGTGTGTATGGCTTCAACATGTCATGCATCAGGAAAGTAGCTATCTCTGAGCCCCTTGTTGATGTTGTTGACCCTAAACAGGTAGTCACCAATGCTTGTCTCTTAAAGGTGAGTTTCATAATGCATTGTTAAAAATTAAGATCACAATTTGAAGTATGTTGGAAACTTAAAGCAAAACAGTAAATAACATGATTTATGAGAACAATATGTAGGTAAATGATCATGACACTGGGAAATTTGTTTCAAAATATTATATTTTTTATTCATACACATCAGTAACATGTTTTGGCTCAAAATGAGGTTTTAATATAATTAGAGAATTAAGTTCCTGATCACGATTGTTCTTATTGTTATTTACATTTATTTTGAGTTGAAACAGTTTAATATTGTTATTATTTTGTATTTCAGGAAGTAGATTTGTACAATGTTAAGTCAGAAGATTTGGTGTTCCAGTCTCCCTTCCATTTACAAGTTCGTCGAGATGATTATATTCAGGCATTTGTCACGTTTTTTAACGTAGAGTTCACAAAGTGTCACAAACGAACAGGATTTTCCACAGGTATTTTTTTTTTCTTCTAGATTTCAAGTAATTGTTTTAAAAAGCTATTTGTTAAAATTATTATTAGTAGATACATGTGTAGCAAGAATTTTGTGATGGAAAAAGAGGAATTGTCTTGGCAAGTCATCTATAAACATGTTATAGTTGAGCAGTTTTGAGGTTTTTCATTAATTCTTTAGACCCAAATTTTCGAAACTATTGTTAACATTAAAGCCTAGTGGCACGAGGTACAAAATGTATAAATTTTTGGTCAAATACACATTTGTTTACAACATATTTCTGTTACTTTCAGGTAGAATAGATTTGAGTTTAAACTATTTAATTTTAAAAAAAGCTGTAATTAACAGTATGATATTAACCACTTGAGTAACTGATAAAATATTGGCTCTCATTTATTTAATGAAAACTTATTACAGCTTAGAGCACTGCAGTTTCAAGTTATATTATTTGTTATAGGCTTGGGTGTGTTAATGGTTATGTTTTGAAATAAAGTGGAATTTAACTTTCATATTCATATTTCATGTGGTAAAAATGTGATACATAAAGTATCTAAACTATAAATTTATAGTGATTTTAAATATATTATTTCACGACAATGAATTTGTACTTGTATAGGATTTGGAAAATATGTAGCATTTATGCTACTAGTCTATTCTTCTGAATTATTTAACAGACAAGCTATTTAAGATACTAAAATAAATAGTCTTTTCTTTCCTTCAATGTGCCCTTCCTCAGGATTACTGATAAGGAGTGGAATTCCCTGAAACCAGTATAACTCCTTGACAGTTGGTGAAATTGAATTATAGGTTGGGCTTTATATTTATTTTCATATCTTGAGCAGCTTGGCTACTGAATAATTCAGAAGAATAAATTAGTAGCATCTGTGCTATACATTCTTTTAAGTCCTATGTGAACACAAGTTCAGTGCAATGAGTGAAAGACAACTTAAAAACACTATACATATAACATACAGCTCACCATTTTGACCTTGTCTAGGGTTACTGATAAAGGGTGGAATTCCATAAAAGTGATGTAACTTGGTAACAAGTGGTAAATTGAATAATTGGTATTCATATTCATTTTTAGTAAGCTGGATGTTGTTTTACAATGATAAAATTTCTTGTGTTCTAGCTCCTGAAGCTCCTTACACTCACTGGAAGCAGACTGTTTTCTATTTTGATGACTACTTAACGGTGAAAAAAGGAGAGGAGGTGTATGGTGTTTTCAGTGTGAAACCTAATCCGAAAAACAAGGTCAGAATGCTTAGAAATTGGAAGATAATACAGTTGATATTTTAAAAAAAATTTTGTATATAACATAAGTACTATATTTCTTGGTAATTTGATAATTATCTGGAGATTATAAAGATTTCACATGTGAAATTTGAAAATGTTCTAATGAATTAAAGTATTTTTAATCGTAAAACCAAAATTACTTTGCATACTGGATAATCAACATTCTGAAATAAAAAGGTTTACGAGAAAATCTTTAAGTAAAAAATCTTAATACTTAATTAAAATACCTGATATTTTGTGTATGAAAACCTTGTAATGTTTCAGTAGCCTGAATACATTGTCAAAAATCATAGTATAATTACTCTCATGGTTACAAGCTGGGTGGATTCCACCCAACCCATAATGAAAGGGTTAATAAGAAGCAAATAATTAAGGATGTTTCTAACAGTCTTTAGAATAAATTTCTCCATCTTCTGGAAGTCTTTCAGACAATTTTTTTTTCAGATGTTATTCCAGTATTTGATTTACATATTTTAATTTTATTGTGTATAAATGTTTAAAAATTGTATGTAATAAATTATGTAAAATAACCTCCAAGAATATTCACTATTTATAGAAAAAGTTTCCACTGTCATTACTGTTTTGTAAGCTGTTTTATAAATGCTGTATTTCTACTTACTTTCATATTCCTTTTGTTTCTTATAGCGTGATCTTGACTTCACAATTGATGTGGACTTCAAGGGTGATCTTTCAGAACTCGGAGCAAGTTTTGTGTACAGAATGCGTTGATAATGTAATTCTGAAGTAGGGTGAAACCAGTGTGTGTTATCAGTTTTTATTCAGCATAATGGTACTTCCCTTGATGCTTTTGGTGTCACTGTACAACAATCTTCTACTCTCCATTGTAAAAAAATATTACCCATATTGTGTCAGATTTGCATCTTCTCATGGTTACACTAGCAGTGTTACCCCCTTCTTTCATACTTTGTTTTGCAGAATTAAGTTAAAAATCAGGATCAGTTAAATATTCATTTCTGAACATTTTTTGTTCTGTTTCTCATGGCCTATCACCAATCTTACAAATGTATTTGCATTTTAGGTAAATTCTGATTACACAAAAAGGTTTATACTTGTTTCTCAAATAGTTTGGCTGGAGCTGTACATCTGGAAATGTTTACAGCTTTTAAACAAAATTACTTGCAGAAATAAATATTTCATGGTGTAACAAGGCACCTGTCATAATTTACTTTTCATTATTAGAGAACTTAGATTTCACATGGTCTAGATTCAATATTTAAAAACTAAGGAAGAAGAAATACCTCACATAGTATAATGTGACAATTACTGTATGAGTAATAATTGCTGTAGACACATAGCAAGGAGATTAATAATAAGTTAAGCAAACCTTATAATCAAGCTGACAAATTTTGAAACAACTTTGTTACAGATTGTAAACATATTTTACTATCAAAATCTTTGTAGCCAGTAAAGATATTAAAAACAATTGATAATGAAATAAAAAATTAACTTAGACAGTTGTCTTTTGAAATAAATTTGTATAGACTGAAATGCTTCTGTACTTCAGAATTTAAGCTTAATTCATGTTTCTTATGTAACAAAATGTCGACCTTTGCTAATTCTATAACATAAGAAAACATGGGTACTGTAACAAAATGATTTGTTTGATAATTGGTAGGATTATTGGCCCATTTAATGGTTTTTCTTTCTTTTTTTTCAAATACTTTGCCTCTGAATTTAAGCTTAATTCATGTTTCTTATGTAACAAAATGCCAACCTTTGCTAATTCTATAACATAAGAAAACATGGGTACTGTAACAAAATGATTTGTTTCATAATTGGTAGGATTATTGGCCCATTTAATGTTTTTTTTTGTTTGTTTTTTTCAAACGCCTTGCCTCCGGAGCTAGTTTCAATATTGATCACATCATCCATTGATCATGTTCTTTCCCTTCTAGGCTTAATGTACTTTTCCTTTAACTGACAAAATAAAGTTTTATATAAATTTAGCAGTTTTAATTGTTTGACTTAATTTAAACAGCAGAAATCTTATTCATCAGACAATAAACACGAAAATATTGAGGTACAGCCCGTGATGCCATATGTAGTTTTATGTATATTTATAATTTTTAACAGTCAGATATAGGAATATTTAATCAGTGGATATAAAATGATAAAAACCCTATAACCTGAGCACTTTTGAAAGGTTGACCTTTCTTCTTCAGAGATAAACTGGGATATTTTTAACTTCATACTTTATGCTGACTCAGCAGCTGGGCTAAATCATATCAGTCTGGCATGAGAGCAACATTTGCTAGGAGCATTACGACGGCTCTCAGTGGAATGATCACCAATGCAAGCTAAAAACCTTCAGATAGTTCACCCAGAGCTTATCCCACCTCATGTCAACAGTGTGACTTTGATCTGAAAATCCAATTAGGCTACTGTAATCAAAATATTCAGGAAAATTAAGGTAAGAAATTATGAATGTGTATTTCAGTTTTTTTTGTGTTTCAGGTGAGGTGAATAAGCCAGAGAGAGAGAATGAACTCCACAGGGTCTAAGAGTTTATCCTCTTGAAAGAATAAATCTTATAAACTTCAGAAAGCTTCTCATGCCAGTACTTGCTTCTTCTGGCCTCTATCATATTACAGTGAGAGTGCTGTACCTTTTTGCTGGTGTATCATTTACAAGCTCAAGTGATTAGGATTTGGTTTTCATGTTCTCCAGCTGGTCAATCGAGGTTCCCCACAGTGCATGAGTTCTTGCTCCTGTGGGCACCTGCTTGGGAACTATTTTTTATGTATTCACTTTTCAGAACTGCTGCTCCTAGCCCTGTCCATTCTAATAAGTTAGACAAGTTATGGTGAGACAATAACCTATTGGAATGTAGCTGGTATTCTTGAGATGAGTGCACACTGGCCAATAAAATATAAGGACACCCTCTCACCTTACACCAATCATCCTTGCTTATAACCAGTAACTAAGCATCTCGATATTGTTTCTACCGTATGACAACAAAGTGTGGTCACTACCTGATGATCTGTAAGTCTACCGGTTATGTGTGGCACAGCTTGCAGGTCGTCGCTAAATTGGCCATTGATCCCATATTTTTTTTATTTTTTTTTTGTAAATTATTAATGGTATTTTTTTATCTTTCTTCTAATTATCTGACCCATTCTTCTTGCTTTTTTTTATATTATTATTATTATCTCCATTAAATTTTCTTTCTTGTTCCTCCTGTTTGCTACCTCTTTAATTTTTTGTCTCATTCCTCCTGATCTTTTGTTAATTTTATCATTTCAAATAATCTTTAATCTTGTACTTGACCTTTTTGGTCACTGCCTTCAGTTGAGATTCTATTTCAAATATATTCTAAATTCTATTATCATCAAAATAATCCTAAACCTGACGGCAAATGTTTTAACATAGTTCTTTCTTTGCAGGTTCTTTTACATTATCAGGTGAAAGTAATTCAACGTCCACTCCACTTAATGAGACGAAATTTCCTACTTTAAACATTTCTATAAGCTTAACCACTTTTCAACTCGTAAATTGTTTAGCTCTAAATTTACAACAATACTAGGAGTAATGTACAATCAATCCGTTTATTTTTACAAAGTAGTGCAATATCTCTTTTTTTATCTCAAATAACTTAACACTTCACGGAACGTCGTTTATTCATAATCTACCATTGTTGTAGGTATTTCTAGGACTAAACTATACGTCACATTACATCATCAAACACTCACAGCTTTCTTTAGCTGATAAATTACAAAAATTACTCTCAATCTTTGGGTTGCGGGTTCGAATCCTTGTCCCACCAAACATGCTTGCCCTTTTATCCGTAGGGGCTTTATAGGTGACGGTCAATCTGACTATTCCTTGGTAAGAGAATAGCCCAAGCATTGGCAGTAGGTGGTGATGACTAGCTGTCTTCCTTCTAGTCTGACACTGCTAAATTAGGGACTGCAAATGTAGATATCCCTTGTGTAGCTTTGCACAAAATTCATAACAAACCACACTCCAAGGAAGATTGTATAAAAATGTATATTTAGACATTAAATCATAACATATATGTATGTATATCTTATATAGATATATTAGACATTAAATCATAACATATATGTATGTATATCTTATATAGATATATTAGAAATAAAATCCACCAGTGAAAATTTAGTAAATAGGTTTTCTAAAATTAAATGTAATAATAAACTAGCTTATATTTCTAGAACTAAAACAAGCTAATTTGGCCTTTTTAGCTTCTGTCATAGGATATTCAGTATTTGTTGGTAAACAAATACAAACGTATACGTGGTCATAAAAATATCTGACAACAGCGTTTCTATTATGCTTCCCTTGTTTGTTATATATGCTGGCGAGGCCGTTCACTCAATTTCAGAATTCATTTGTCAGGCTTGTCAACTTTTAAAACGGTCGTTAAACGTTTTAGTTCGAAAAACTTGAAAAATTAACACACACAGTAGTGTGTCTTGCGGCCAAAAAAATAACCTACAGGGTACAGTTTTCTTAACAGGTGTGATAGTTTAACGATTTTCCACCTTCTGCAGCTTGGACTCTGATAATCCAAACTATCACACATATTCAGTGGATGTGTTCTACTGGACTCTTACTTCACATAACAAATTTCAAGGCGATCCATTAAGAAATACCTGAGATATAAAATCTCCAATTTTGATTGCATTTCTTCCTTTTTTCTATTTGCACCAAAAGTATGGAAACTTTATTTAATAGAAAAACATACTTAACTTTTATGAATTATTTTCAAATCTGGTTAACTCTAGACTGATATAGATCAAAATGGTGGTGTGCTTGAATAGATTAATCTATCTGAGGAGTTCCTACAATATCTATCACTGTGTGCTTTTCCTCACTAATGATAACCCATAGTTACCACTACATAATTGTGTCACTACCGGAACTGACTCGGTTAAAGTGAAGAGGTGTCTCAATGAACTTTTTGACCAGAATATTCTCCTGATCTGCATATGTTATTGCTAGGTAGGGCTTTCCAGGTAGTCAGCTGAGATTGCCTAAATAGTTGTCTTTTTTTAACTTGGCCTGATAAATTGCCCCATTTTCCAATGGAGCAACTCTGAGATGCAGCTAATTTATAACTGTATCCCAATTCTCTTGATGTTCCTTATCCAGGTGTTCAGTAGCATTGCGGATCCTATCATATGAACTCGGGATCAGTTATTGAAGAGCCTGTTCCAGAGTCCATCCATAGGAAATTGTGCTTCTACTTTTATTTATTTTTTCTTAACATAGTAAACATTAAAAGTACAATACATAAAAGGTACCAATACTGAAAAGAAAGACATTGTTTTCAAGAATTCTAACAATATGAACTTTGATAGGGGAGGGAGTCATCACTGTGTCAAGTGTGGTGCTGATTGATCAAGAAATGTGTAAAGTATAAGGAACAGATGTACACATGTCGACGTTTATTTATATAGATAGAAATAGATTATCAGAGAGGAGTTGTATTTTACGTCAAAAATTAAATTAGCGTAGTCAAATAATTATTCGTGTTTACCTACACAAATTTCACAATTGAAACATTTTACCATCTTAATTAATTATACTTGTCATAAGACATTAGTATTAGGCCTATTTCTTTCAGTTCAGGTCGGCTGGAACATAACAAACGCAGTAGTGTTCGAAACACCATTTGTATAAGTCATTTGTATTGTTTGTTTGTAAGTACGCACAAAGCTACACAATGGGCTATCTGTGCTCTGCCCACCACGGGTATCGAAACCCGGATTTTAGCGTTTAAAGTCCGCAGACATACCGCTGTACCACTGGGGGGCTAAGTCATTTGTTACAACAGTAATTGTTAAGGTGTGAACACCTTTTCATTAGTGTTAATATTAGACAAGTATAGTTAATTGTTATCGTGCTTTGTCTGTTTAGAAAAGGCGTTCACGCCGTAACAATTTTACCATATTATTTTAAGTACTTAAATATGTATGAGATCCTCCTTCTCAGCTATAATATACAAATTACGTAACAAGTGCAGATGTACAACATATCAAATTCGTGCTAAACTTCGTTCACTGTGGCTGGTTGTATCAGAATTTTGCATGAAACTGCCAGTTTTGAACTGATAAACTACAGAAACTGATACGGTTACGAGACGAAGAAAAAAGCGTAACTAGTACAGCGGTTATCGAGTCATGAGACCTTGGATATTCAATCTAGGCACACTAAGCTGTGCCCAAAACTTGCTTGATATGAGTAATTCCCCTTCTTTATCTTGCTACTTAAATACATGAAGTAGGATAGGTGGTCGCATTTTTCAATAGATTAGATTGAAAATAGTCAAAAACAACAAATTACGTTTGTTTGAAATTTTATATCTTGTTCATTTCAAAGCGACTACTTCAGTATATAAAATTTGAACTAGGTATATGTGGTCGTAGTTTTTACTTTTCACTTCATAATTAGATGGAGAAAATTGCTAAAATAAATTAATTACAGTTTAAAAGTTTTATATTTCAGTGATTTTGAGGCAATTCCTATAGACTGCAGATAATAGAGTTGAAACGTCGACTTCATAGTTAAACCCATGGTTCAAATTCCTTTCAGTTGGATCTTTTTCCAACTGTTGGAAGCAAGGTTCGGATAAAAGAGTTGAAACTGTTTTCATAGTTAAACCTATTATCGTGTTGCTTCCAGTTGTCTTGGTTGGACCTTTCTTCAGTTTATTGTAACGATGATAGGAATAATAAAGTTAAAGCTATATATATTCGTAGTTAAACCTGTTGTTCAAGTTGTTTTCATTTGTCTGGTTGGAACGTTATATTAATTTTATTTTAGCATCTTGATGAGTTACTAGTGGTATACACGTGTTTAATCAAGTATTTTAGGAGTTGCTTACTTTATAAACAAATATCTAGTAAGCCATTTAGAAAATTTCTCTCATGCGTAGCTGTTTGAACAGCATCAAGCTTATCATGCACATCTTCGTTTATTAATTCCTTTTTTTATGACCGATTTGTGAACGGTCCTGTAGATACTTCCATAAATATTTATCAAAAGTTCTTCGCATATCCAGCGCTCATGGCATTTTCCTTAAGTACCAGTTTTGTTCCAGTATTATTAGGCACTGTTTCTAGAAGTGTAACATACGGTATGAACTTTTGTATGACTGTTATAGAATCCTCCTGTCTCTTTTGGGATACATACACAATTATTTTGGTTCTTGGCTTAGTGTAGTTGTTTTTCTACTATCCGAACTTCGGCTGTCAGAGAAGTTATTATATATATACGTCTTTTAACCAACGAGTAAGAGATCTGAGTATTTTATTGTTCGTGAATAAGTAAAGGTTTTTGTTTCTCCCGCAGGTGTGGATAAATAATTTCTTTCGATAGTTGTACGTGTTCAGTTTTTTTTTCTGTGTAAAGCGTATCCTGAATTTGCTGCTTAGCTTATGGATTTTATCACATGGCTGTTGAGTATCATTAAATTTGGATAACATATTATTGTGTTCGTAAGAATTGTGCTTGGTTTCTTTTACAAGTGATTTCGTAATTGTGTCATTTTGAACTGTGCAAACGATTGTTTGTTATGGATTTCGCGCAAAGCTACACGGTAGCCGTCCCTAATTTAGCAATATAAGACTAGCAGGGAAGGCAGCTAGTCATCACCACCCATCGCTAACTCTTGGGCTACTCTTTTACCTACGAATAGTGGGATTGACCGTCACATTATAACGCCCCCACGGCTGAAAGGGCGAGCATGTTTGGTGTGACGGGAATTCAAACCCGCGACCCTCAGATTGCGAGTGAAGATTTGTAACAAATTATTTGAGAGTGATGGAGAACAACATTAAATACAAGATGATTAAATGGAAAGAAAAAGTTCAGCATCAAACAAACGATTACAATTTGATCGTAGGCGTGACAACAGGCCACGTGACTAACCGGAACAAAATGCTAAGTGGTTTAAATATAAAAGTGCGTAATTTTCAGAAAGTTTCAAAGTTTCAAAATCCTTTATGAAGGTCATTTGTATTTTAAGCAGTTTTTTAATTAGCACATTCCACGTTATAACTTTTTTTACAATAGACCTGTTTCTTTAGGCTTAAATAGTTCTGAATATTGATAAAAAAAGGCAATAATGCAAACAAATCTTTAACAAACAAGTGTAAAGTTTCTAACTTTGATGTTCTTATTTTGGATTTTTAAAATATATATTTAAATTTACACTTGTGTATTTCTTTTCGTCTTGACCGTTTAAGCTTCCTTGTTTTAGCCCGGTTGTGCCATATTTCAGAGGCTAAAGCAAAAAGTGAAAGTATTAAGCCTATTGATAGCATGATGAAGAGGCCTTTGACATCTTCAAGTTTAAGGGGTCTACTGGTATCTTCAGAAGTGTGTAGACACTTGGTGAAGTTTTGTAATGCCTGTTGAAGGTTATGTGAAAAGAACCCGCTCTCCATAACGGTTGCCATTCTGAAAATATTTAATATATAAAACAAAGGGTAAAAACAGTACATTTAAATGCTAGGTAGAATTGTCAAAACATTACCAGACAAACTGCAAAATAGATAATATTTAAGCAATAAATAGTTACAGTATTCGTTATGCAGTAATGAGCATGTTCGAAACACAGCAATTAACCAAAATATTTCATTAGATGCTTTGACTTTAGAACTTACATTACACAAGATACTTTGATTCTAAAATCCTTACTCTTCGTCAGTTTGTGCATTTCGTAAGTACCCGTTTCGAGAAATTACAAAACATATTGACTCACAACGTAGTATTACTTTTAGTTGTAATACTTATAGAACAGTTGATTGTTGGTTTATTTTAAAGCAAAGCTACACTGGAATAAAAATCTGCTGTGTCCACCACAGGAACTTGAACCCTGAATGTTAGCGTTGATTGTCTGTAGACTTACCGCTGTCCCACCGAGGGATTGTATAAAAGGAATTTGGCTAATGATATTGTTGCAACGTGTTCTATCGTTGACTGGATCATTTGTTAAATAGTCCAGCTTACGTAACGATAGGGTTACCATCTTTGACATGCAAAAAACGCCTTTCACCCCCGACAAGGCCATTCCGCAAACCCCTTCTCACCTCTGATGCAAGATTTCTTTTTCAGGTGTGTAATAGGATCATTCAATGCACCATCGCCCAGATCTTTCATTATTCAGTTTGTAATTACTTGGGTATCTGCTACTATCATACATATTTTTAACTCAAGTCAAATCGCTTACTTCTCTTGTCTCACACATCTCCTCCCACTCACTAAATCGCCTACATCTCTCGCCTCGCACGTCTCCTCACACTCGCGTGACTCTCTCACTCACGTTATGCGCTTTGTGTTGGTGGGTAGACAGACAGCTGCCGTATTTTCAGCCATTTTGATCTATTATTGCTTTAAACTGAGGAAGTAGCAACACTACAACAGTGTTCTTTAGCTTTAGATCCACATAAAAACTGGCAAGTGGAAAACCCATAAAAAATGGCCAGATGGCAATCCTACATAACCATAAGAAATTAATTGACTTCTTCAATCACGTTTGCTGCAGGCTACATTCACTTTGACACAAGTTGTAGGCCTAAGTTCGCAAACAATGTTTCAACAGAGATTTCGAGACTAATGGATATATGCTTACTTACTTGAAAACTTGCATGCAGAAATTTCCTCGCTAATCGATCGATTAAGTAAATAGACACGATAACTTTCACTACTAGCGATGAACTAAACCACTTATTGATTACTTATTAATTTATCACTTCACTGATTCTAGTTCACAGTAGCATTTATATCATTCCTGTTTTTTTTTACTTACAACACGGAATTTCTAGATTTTACAGAGGCCTTAACTTTCATGAGCATTTTAGATATTGCGTCATGTGTTCTTTAGCGAACAAACATCTAAATTACAATGTTAGAAATATATCTTACAATGATATATGTATGGAACATTCATCACAAAATTATTCGAGGCGATATTTCTTTTCTAGGTGGTTTTATTTCAATATTAAACTTTCACTCAGGACGCACATCATGAGTACCAAAGATTTGATTCTCTTGAGACTCAGAAAAATATGACTTAAGATAATCACATAACTTTTGGATGTTAAATTTATGTTAACATACTAAACATAGTGATACCATAACAAATCATACTAATTCTATAAAATGACTACTATAAGAGCCCCAAAGTGGCTCAGCGGTAAAAATCGGGTTTCGATACCCGTTGTGGGCAGAGCACTGATAGCCCATTGTGTAGCTTTGAGCTTAGCAACAACAAAAACAAACTGCTAAAAGTGTATATTTCAAATAATTCAAAACCACGGCTACTTTTAACGAACAAATTTCGTTAGTAGGTTTGTCTGTTTGTTTTTAATTATGCAAAAAGTTACACAAGGGCTATCTGTGCTCTGCCCACCACGGGTATCGAAACCCAGTTTCTAGCGTTGTAAGTCCGCAGACATACCGCTGTGCCACTGGGGGGCTCGATAGTAGGTCTCAGTAGATTACATTATTTTTATGCACAATTCAAAATGCATCAATATTATTTTTTAACATCATTAATTCAATTGCTTTAGTTTTCAGGGGCATTTATAAAGGCCATTTACTTCACGGACAGGTTGGTTACAGTTAAATGAATTAAATAAATCTTTGCAAAAAATCCTTTAAGGATATATTTTACAGGAAGAGTTCCTTTTCGACATAATTATCAGTTGTTTTCCTATAAATGGCTAAGAAAAAATAACTTGTAAAGCTTTGGTTGTTGGTTAAAGAGTATAAACTTTTTAGTTTTTCATCATAAAAACTTGGTGGCGCTGTGAGTGTTTTCTTCTGACAACCTCATATTACAAAAATAATTTAAATCATTGAAAGCATTTAAATATATATAATCCTTCTTTTATGGATTTGCGGCTGATTTAAAGTTACCCTCAAATCCAAGGAGTGTACAGGTAGCTGACAGAAAATAAAGTTTAATTTTCTACGTTAGCGAATTGTTGATATAATATTTTGTATAGTACACTAGCTAACAAAGTTTTAATGTAAATTTTATTACCTGAAATTCAGTTCTTCCTGAAAACCTCCAAGTGATGAATTTCGGCGGAGAAGTATCACTCGAGATTTTGCGTGGAAATGTTCCTTCGCCAAATAAAAATTGCAGCTCTTTTGTCGTTCGTAACGCAGCGACAGACTGTAAAATATTGATATTTCACTAGAGATCAGAGCGTGCGTTCCTCGAGCCACTTTGTCCAAAACCTCATCACTATTCAGTTTCTCCGGATGGACAAGAGAGTCGTTGTGTTGAAGAATTCGTTTCCATATTTTCCTGTATAGTCGATCCTCACTTGTCTTGAATAAATAAATAAAACAGACGAAACCCATGGTAGTAAAGAGAAAAACTAAAGAGATTTAAAATTATAATTGTCATAACACAATAGTATTAGGCCTATTACAGTTTTAAAGTTATAGAAATTAAATATTATATATATATATATATGATTTAATGTTCATTATAATAAAGCTGTGAGACAAACATACCGAATGCTTCCTCCGCTTCTAAGCAATAACCCTTCAATGGAGCAACAATAAGATCAGACTCTTTTTGGAAAACAGCAATATCAGCTCCTCTTGTGCAGCTTTCCACAAACCAGCTAATGTTTACGCCTTCCAAGCACATGTTAGAGCAGATCATAGGTGTACAAGTTCATTGGAGATGTATCAGTGGATTTAATAAGTGGGTGATCTAACATGAATGTTGTGATTATTGTTTCTCGGGCCATCATTCTCATTAATACTGTCATTGATATCGAGGTTTGGCTGTAACCTTGTGTACTTTTGTCCTCTTCAAGTCTTTGTTTATTATCTTCATCATCATATATATATATATATCGCATTAGCGTTATCGGTCCAGATTGTCAACTTATTGTCATAACGGATAATGTCTGTGGTAATAGCACCCAAATGCTGATAGATAGAACATCCCCCCAACGCATTTTACCATAGACATTATCCGTTATGACAATAAGTTGTACAATACTGGACCGACTAACGCTAATGAGATATTTAATTCATTATTGTTTTATAGTTCTGATTTAATCGCCTATTAACAATTAATGTAATTAATAGTTTGTGAGCTATATATATATATATATATACATTGTATATATAAGTATATAAGTTATATTTATTTCACAGGCGATAACTATGGTTTATAAAGCTTTGATAATATAAGTTCATTTCTTCTAAAACTTCAGAATTTAAATTTCTTTGTCTCACCCATTGACTCAGCGGTAAGTCTAATGAATTATAACGCTAAAAACCGGCTTTCGATACCCGCGGTGGGCACAGTACAGATAGCCCATTGTGTAGCTTTGTGCTTCAGAACAAATACAATTTAATTTCTGTATTACAAAGACATTTAAAGTATTATATTTTTGTAAGAAAACTAAATTTCTCCTGTAATGGATAGATTAGTATTTTGTATGTCACTGTAGTTATTTAATGCTCAACTTAGATACAAAACCATTATCCACAAAAACTGCTTGACAACTCATTACCATTTAACTATTAAATCAGCCATTAAATAATTTTACCTTAGTTTATCAACTGATAAATTTCTTAGGTTATTCAAATCACTACAAGTAAAGATTGTATTTCGGGCCAAAGTCCTATATATAACTGCTTTCCAAATTAGTTTTTTAATCATAAATAATATATGTATGCATAGAGAGGTTGATTACGTTATATTAAAATAATTTTGAAGCGTCACCATACCATTACAGTCTACATCATTACCTTTGTTCATGCTCTACCTGACATCCGAACATCCTTGCAGTAGCCCTGCAGCGTAGTTTCCGTTGGAAAAGGGCCCATTGCAGTGCTGTCTCGTCCATAGCACACCATTCTTTCCTGTTTGCTTTCTCTAAACCATCTAGCATATTAGGAAGACAGTTTTTCATTGCTTCTTTCAACAGTCCAATGGCACAGAAATCCATAGACGCTGCATTCTGAACTTGACCGATATGTCTTCACACAGGATAACATGGAATACCTGTTTCATTCTCTAGTTGCTTGAAGTACTGAAAGGTTGAACGGGAGGTATGGTTGGAAGCTTTATCAAGGTGAGCCTTTACACTTTTGACCTCGTTTGGAGACAGAGATTATTGTTAATTATGTTGTTCACTGTTGGCTGGTTCGCGTGGACGGCTTTTACCTCAGCTGGCGTACGACTTGTTGCAGGTCTCTTTCTGGATGGTCCTGGTACTCCAAGTTCATCTATATTTCCTTTAATTTCCAATTTAATATACGAAATATCTCAGTCTTGGAAATTCTAAATACTCGATCTGAACACACCTTTATCATCCGAGTGTATGAATATTTCCCCTCAGAAAGAGCTGTTACGTACCCTTACTAAAAGCGATTACTTTTCGCTAACATTACAATACCTATAAAACGTCAAGCAATGTCAAATTTAGTTCTGGTACACTATACACTAGATGGATTATGGAAAGCAAGCAATGAGAAGTGGTGTGTGTTGGGTATGACTGCTTTACGATAGAGCCTTTTGCTATGAAAACCACGTCTAAAGTATGACCTGACGTGGCAACATGGACTGTAACGAAGAGTTAAGCTTCAAAATCGTTTTGATATAATGTACTCATATATGTTTTGTGTGCCATTTAGTCATCTATTTTATTTTATGTTGTGATTCCTGTGCAGCGAAATTAATGTTTAGGCATAAAAATAAAATCATAATGGGTTTACAAAACTGTATTTTTGTTAAACCTCATCAACGTTTAGCAGGTAACCTGCTGAAAAATTAAACTAGTGTTAAACTATTAAAATTAATGTTACTGTGTAGGTAGAAAAGGGTAACTATTAAAACTAGTGTTACTGTGTAGGTAGAAAAGGGTAACTATTAAAACTAGTGTTACTGTGTAGGTACAAAAGGGTAACAATTAAACTATTGTAGGTAGAAAAGGGTAACAATTAAAACTACTGTAGGTAGAAAAGGATAACTATTAAACTACTGTAGGTAGAAAAGGATAACTAATTAAAACTACTGTAGGTAGAAAAGGGTAACTATTAAACTACTGTAGGTAGAAAAGGGTAACCATTAAAACTACTGTAGGTAGAAAAGATAACTATTAAGAGATCAACAATACTTTAATTCTATAAACATTCATTCACACTTTAAATCATAAAAGTAGGTTGAAAATTATTTTTTAATCTAATTCTAAACTGAAGAAAGCTAGACGTTTATTTTTCTTAAATCATATCTCTCACGTACATCACGTAATTTGCTAACAATACTATCTTTAGGAACTTCAAGTTTTCCCTGTGCTAGCATGTTGTATGTAAATAATTTACGTTACCATGGTCACCAAAACACAAAGAAAATAACCAAGCCTTACCTTCCACTTATTCTAGTAAGTTTTCATTGAGTGTGAGCAAAATGACCAAAGGTATGTGGCTCTTACTGTGCGAGTAGAGTGCATGCAGTAACGAATATACCATTGTGTGATTACTTACATGATGGGGCCCGGCATGGCCAGGTGGATAAGGCGCTCGACTCGCAATCTGAGGGTCGCGGGTTCGGATTCCCGTCCCACCAAACAGCCGTGGGGGCGTTATAATGTGACGGTCAATCCCACTATTCGTTGGTAAAAGAGTAGCCCAAGAGTTGGCGGTGGGTGGTGATGACTAGCTCTAGTATTACACTGCTAAATTAGGGACGGCTAGCGCAGATAGCCCTCGTGTAGCTTTGCGTGAAATTCAAAAACAAACAAACAAACTTACATGATGGAGAAATGCTGTTACATATATGTATTATATGCGCAAACCTTTCCAACAAAGAATATCAAATATAAGATATTAAACTCAAATCATAAAAAAGTGATTTAAGAAATTACAGGGTAGAGAGATGTGGGGTAGATTTGAGCCATCTAAATGGATAAACAAAAGAGGTGAAAAGTTGACTCATTCAAGGCAAGTCTGTCTGGAAAAGAACAATATGATTTTAGATAAAGTGACTCCAGACACTAAACAGTACTAAAAATAGTTCTTTCAGAGTAGTGGTGGAATAGCGCAAGACCTTACCAGCAGTATGGTTTTAAACAAAGTGACTCCAGGCACAAAATAAGACCTGACAACAGCTCTTTCAGAGTAGAGGTGGGATAACTCAAGATCTTATGAATACTATGATTTTAAACAAAGCGACTCCAGGCACAAAATATGACTTGAAAACAGCTCTTTCAGAGTAGAGGTGGGATAACTCAAGACCTTATGAACACTATGATTTTAAAGAAAGTGACTCCAAGCACAAAATATGACTTGAAAACAGCTCTTTTAGAGTAGAGGTGGGATAACTCAAGACCTTATGAACACTATGATTTTAAAGAAAGTGACTCCAGGCACAAAATATGACTTGAAAACAGCTCTTTCAGAGTAGAGGTGGGATAACTCAAGACCTTATGAACACTATGATTTTAAACAAAGTGACACCAGGCACAAAATATGACTTGAAAACAGCTTTTTTTCAGAAAAGTGGTCCAACAATTCAAAAGCTTATCAATACTATGATTTTAAACATGCAACGCTTACTGTTTATTGTGGACATACTCCATATTGAAGTGAAATGCCATGAACTGTAAAGGTTGAAATCAAATGTCATGTAGGAGTGTTGCATAAAAAGCGTGTAATAAGGTAGCTGGATGTAACTGAGTTATTTTAATTTGTTTCATATGTGGTTCATATCCCATTATTTTAGTATTATTTTTTTTGTACGTCTATTATGCATTTGAATTCTAGCTTTTGTTGGTTTTTTTGTTTCTCCAAGATCTCGAGCAAGTGGATTACATACCTGTCTTTCTACCAAGAAGACCCAGGATTGAGTCATGGCCACCACAACAAATACTATCCTTCTCATGACTTCCCTGAAAACGGCAGCGGATTAGCAGTATGATATAGAATACTCAGTAATTACTAATTAACAATTACTACCTAATGAGCAGATACAGTCCTATAATTTGTAAGAAATTTAAAGATTTAGAAATACTTAACAGCAAAATAGTAGATAAACGTCTTGCAATTCTACATTTCTATAAACAAAATAACACAATTCCTAAAGAACTTAAGGTCAACTGACTTATCAACAACCTGCATGTTAAAGGTTCTCAGAACCTTAATAAGTCCATGTCTTTTGACAGGACCAAATATCATCATGCGAACGTGTTTGTTTATAGTTAAGCACAAATTTGCACAATGGGCTATCTGTGGTGTGCCCGCCACGGGTATCGACATACAATACAAACAGTAATAGAACATACAAAGACTCTGCTAAGATACAC